AGAGAGAGAGAGAGAGAGTGAAAGAGAGAGAGAGCGCGAGAGTGAGAGAGAGAGAGGGAGAGTGAAAGAGAGAGAGAGCGCGAGAGTGAGAGAGAGAGAGAGGGAGAGTGAAAGAGAGAGATTGAGAGAGCGAGAGAGCGAGCAAGTGCAAAAGCGCGAGAGAGAGAGCGTGAGACTGAGAGAGAGAGAGAGCGCGAGAGTGAGAGAGAAAGCGAGAGAGAGAGGGAGAGTAAAAGAGAGAGATTGAGAGAGAGCGAGAGAGTGAGCAAGTGCAAAAGCGCGAGAGAGAGAGCGAGAGAGAGCACGAGTGAGAGAGCGAGAGAGAGCGCGAGAGTGAGAGAGAGCGAGAGAGGCAGCGCCGCGCGAGCCGCGATGATCTCGAAAAATTGATTCTCGCGTGGTCGACCACCGAACAAAGCCGCCGCCTTGCCGTCACCTCGTCCTCGTCGACGAGAATTCAATTTGCCCCGTCGCGGTTGGTGGAAAGTCTGCGCTGCTAAAGCTAGAAGGGACACATTTGCGCGGAAATTCGGTCGGGCCTTAGCGAATCGTCGAGTTCGTTCGCCACCGGCCGCACAGTGCAGTAAAACACGGCCTAGCGGGACGAAAATTGTCTAAAATCCAAATATTCTCGTATAACGACGTGACAGATCTTCTCAAGATTATTATATACCTCTGAAAACGTAGGAAGTAGGGGAGAATATCAAGGTTATGTCAATTTTAACATATGCAAGTTAACGTAACTCAGAAACGCAATTCCTGTTTTGCAAGTGAAAATTATTTAAAAATTATCATTCAACGAACGAACGAAATATTTACTTGCCCGTGGTTAAAAATGGCTATCCTTTTAAATACGTTTAGCGAGAATTTCAAACGCAATATCTCTAAATGGTCCAACAGCTATAACACAGCATGTCACCGAGTTTCTCGATCCGGACCACTGTGCGCCATTGGCGGCAGCAAGAGAGGCTCGAACTCGCGGAACAAGAGGATCCGAGAGGCGGTCCTCCCTGCGCGAGACAGCGCGACGGTTGCTTGGATCCGCTGGAGCGCGGTTAAAGAAGAAAACGACTTGTGTGCGGGGCGCGACCGGCGACGAAACTTTCCGCCGCACCGACCGGGTCCCGTTAACGCGATCCACGAGGTAGTTTCGAGGATCGTCGGAGCGACAGGTAGTGTACACAAAGCTGGGACGCCGGGGATCGGGAAGTCGAGCTGTTTCCTTTCATTCGCCCGAAATGCGTCTAACTTCGGCCCGCGCTATTTTCCAGACACTTTGCATCGGACAATGGAAAGAGAAAATGGGATTTCGCCGGATGGATCGGGTAAAACCAATCGTGCCAGATACACCCCGGAGAGAATCTGTCGCTCTTCACGGCCGAATAGGTCGCAAATTATTTGCTCTCGTACCGATCGTAAACATTTTCACAAGCACGATGGAGCTCGGCTCGATTCTTATTCGCGGTGCGCAATAAGATAGCCGTGGCAATGTCTGTTTTACGGCTGGATATGCTGGGTCGTAGGGATCGAATCCGAAAAGTGAACGGTTTCGAACGAAACGGATATTTACTCTCGATCGAGGTAAACGTTTTTCCTTGGATGAACGTCGACCAAAACTTGGCTGTGGATTCTGAGCCGTTTCTGTAAATAAATTTACGCTGTCGTAGTTTTCTATATCTATTTAATAAGAACTGTTTCAAAACGTAAATCACATGGCTGCATTATTTTCTTACAGGTTTACTTGAACGTGTGGCTAACCTCAAATATGGCACGTGGCTTGTTTCTATTATAACGCGTTCTAACAACGATTGAGAGGCAATACAAAAAAAGTGCGGAGAAAATATGTAACAACTAAAATTATATATTTAAGCCCCAATTTTTCATTTTATATTATATTATATTATATTATATATTATATATTATATATTATATATTATATATTATATATTATATATTATATAATATATTATATTATATTATATTATATTATATTATATATTATATTATATTTTTGTAGGCTCTCAACGGTAAAGACAAATGTAATATCCAATATGTAATATTGGGATTATTGTAATATGCGAATTAGTCGCAGCATTTATTCGACGCATGACAGAATCTACGAACAAGTTGTCAATAATATGGACTTCGGATACGTGACAAAGTGAATCATAAGTTCCTCGTAGAAAAAACTTTCTTTTCTCCAGAGAGGAAATGGTTTTACTTCTCTCATGCGATATGTTTCTTTAACCCTTATATCAATCTCTGCATTTCTTTCTCAATTCGTTTTAAAAACTATTTTGGATGTCCCTGTCGACAAATTACAAAATTGTTGGAGGTATCTTCCACATAACCTCGTTATCAATTAATTGATATCGGAAGCGTAAACATATACGCTGAGGCTATGAAAGCCCAACAACAACAATGTTACCGAACATCGTTTAAAACAATTGATACAAGTATTTTACATGAAGTTTAAACACTAAAAGCCTACAATAGTGGTCAAAATGTCTGATAGCATATTTTTTTTATTTAAAAATTGCTGAAGTTACGAAGACTCTTTCACAAAAATGATGCAATGGATTTGCTTACTTAAGCATAAATTATTATAAAAAATGATTAAAAGTCTAAATAAATTAAGCTTCACCATTATTGTAGTCGTTTTTAATACCGAGTAGATTCAGCGTTAATTATTGACTTGGAGTATAAAATAAAATTGGCCGAAGAATTATCCTAACTGAATTACCCTAATGTCGAAAGAAAAAGTGTTATGTAGGACCTACATAAAAATCGCATGTACGTTCGATGATCGATAAATGAATTTCGCGTCGAAGAAAACTCAATGAAATCCTAAATCAGCCGACAATTTAGTGTCATGTCGCGGCGCGGGGTTGGGGGACGGGGACGGGTCGATAACAAAAGTTAGATCCACGGGCCGCACCCCTCGTCGCGAGAGGAATTATGAGAAACGGCGGCGTCGATCTAGACGTTACACGGTTCTTGCTACTTAGTTACCAGCTCCCACCCCTTATCCACCCCTTATCCACCAATATTTCCCGTGCCGTCTAAGCGAGCTAATTTCCAACCAATCGCAACTTCCCGTCAAACTGTTCCACCTCCGGCTCCGATTCGAGGGTCTGCCAGCCGGTCTCTCCCCCTTTATTTCCATCCCCTCGCGACTACGTTCGTCCTCAACTTTCAAACGCGGCGTAAAAGTAATCCGTTTCCGCGGGATTGACCGTGTCGCCTGGGCTTTTCCATTCCCGTCCTTCTCTCTCCCATCCTTCTGCACCGTTCCATCATTTTACTCTTTTTTTCCGGGGTCGCACGTTCCGACATGGTCAGGTCGATGCGAGAGCATTAACGAGAAAAATATGTATACGTCGCTCGCTGGTCGACGCGAACGGTCATCGCGCTTCTAATGTATTATTAATAACAATAGCGATCGACTTGGTATTAGCGGGGCTCCTTCGGCGCCTAAGAAAAGCGGTGGAGCATGAGTGCAAGGGCAGGTACGAGAGAAAAAAAGAATGTGTGTACAGGGTGTCCCAAAAATGTCTCGCAATTCGAAAGTAGGGGATTCCTGAGGTGATTTAAAGCAACTTTTTCCTTAGCGAAAATGCAATCCGCGGCTTCGTTTGCGAGTTATCGACGAAAGAACAGTGACCAATCAGAGGCGAGATCGTTTGTCGCGAGACGGCCGAGCCAATGAGCGTAACTGGGCTCCGCGCGCTCGTTGGCTGGGCCGCCGCGCGCCAGCCGAGCTCGCTCTCTCTTATTGGTCAGTGTTTTTCGTTAATAACTCGTAAATGAAGCCTCGGAGAAAATTTTCCGGCCGTCCGGCGACACCCCGTTTTCTCCCGCGTGCCGGATAAAACCCGTCGGCTAAATTGCGCGAAAGATGGTGGGTACGGAAAAGTGAACTAGACGCGAGGGAGACGCGTCGCGGAAGCTCGACGAAGCATTTGACGGACTACCATTGAAAGCCCCTTGCAGCAGACAACCAGACAAGACCCTCGGCGCAGCTTTGCGACGCGCAAAGCCTCAGCACACACACATATTCGCAGAGAGACAGCGAAGCGCCACGTCGCACCGCGCCGCGCATCGCCACGCCGCGCCTCGTCGTGACGCACCGCGCCGCACACGCTGCGTCGTTTGTTAGCGTCTTGACGTCGCTAAGACGCCGGGATTTCCGTCGCGACAAGCTTCCTTCCGTGTCGAGCTGCATTCACTACCGACACCCCAGCGACAGGATACCGACCTCTTTTTCCCCGACGTCGCGTCGTCGACGTGGTTGCGTCGTCTGCAACCGTGGCTGGGTCGTTCAAGAGCCTAAAACCGCGAGCGTCGCGATCCGATGAATATCTCCGGCCGATAATCGACGATCTATGCAATTCGAAGGGGGCTTCCGGTCAGAGAGACCGAGAGAGAGAGCGCGAGAGAGATCGAGAGAGAGCGAGAGAGCGCGAGTGAGAGAGAACGAGAGAGAACGCGAGAGAGAGAGAGAGAGAGAGAGCGCGAGAGTAAGAGAGAGCGAGGGAGAGAGCGAGAGAGAGCGCGAGAGTGAGAGAGCGCGAGACAGCGTGAAAGAGAGAGCGAGAGAGAGATGGAGAGAGAGAGCGCGCGAGTGAGAGAGAACGCGAGAGAGAGAGAGCGCGAGAGAGAGAAGGAGTAGAAAAAAAGAGATAGAGAAAGAGTAGAAAAAATGAGAGAGAGAAAGAGTAGAAAAAAAGAGAGAGAGAAAGAGTAGAGACAAGAGAGAGAGAGAGAGAGAGAAAGAGTAGAAAAAAGAGAGAGAGAAAGAGTAGAAAAAAAGGAGAGAGAGAGAGATTCTTCCGACTGTAAAAAATCGAGTGACGCATTTAACGGAAGCGAGCGTGTTCGCTCAGGCTCCGGCTGGAAAGCCCTGTCAAACGAAACGAAAGTAATTATTTTAAATGCGCGCGAACGAGTCGATTTCAGCGGGTCGCGCCTAATTTGTCGCGCGATTTCCACGGACGATGTAACGAGGCCTCGAGTAAGCGCGCTCGCCGGGAACGGAACTCTGTTCCCCCCTCTCCCGAGCTTTCAGGATCGCCGCGCCGCGCCGTGCCGCGACGGAAAGCGGAGCCGACATTGTTTTTCCGCGCGTCGAACGTCTTNGAGAGAAAGAGTAGAAAAAAGAGAGAGAGAAAGAGTAGAAAAAAAGGAGAGAGAGAGAGATTCTTCCGACTGTAAAAAATCGAGTGACGCATTTAACGGAAGCGAGCGTGTTCGCTCAGGCTCCGGCTGGAAAGCCCTGTCAAACGAAACGAAAGTAATTATTTTAAATGCGCGCGAACGAGTCGATTTCAGCGGGTCGCGCCTAATTTGTCGCGCGATTTCCACGGACGATGTAACGAGGCCTCGAGTAAGCGCGCTCGCCGGGAACGGAACTCTGTTCCCCCCTCTCCCGAGCTTTCAGGATCGCCGCGCCGCGCCGTGCCGCGACGGAAAGCGGAGCCGACATTGTTTTTCCGCGCGTCGAACGTCTTGAGTTGCGCTAAACATAGATATCAGGGACCGGTGATCGATTCGATGGACGTGTCGCACGCGCGGACGTTGTTCATCCGATGAGTTTCACGGTCGATCGAGCCCGGATTAATTCCGCCGTCGAGAGTGCTCCCAGTGGCGTTTTTACATTTTTCATTTTCCTTTTTTCTGTTTTTTTTTTTTTTTAGACGAAAGGTCAGTCTCCATGCCGTGCCCATTATCGATCGTCTTGGAATCCTCGCGAACCCCGAAAATAGATGCGAAACGGGTCGACGACGACGGTTGCACGTGAATATTTTATTCGACGCTGGACCGACACGCGGCCACGACAGATCGATGTTGTTGGGGATCGAACGATGTACGAAATAAACGCTAAATACTACGCATTACGTTCCACAGTAAATTCTGCCTAATTGACGAGCAGATTTTTTTAATAATTATAACTCCGTCCTAAACAGTTGGCTGTGTTTGACGAGTACGCTCGTCATGGACAAGTGGCAACATTTTATGTCGAGGTTATGTTATAAAAAGTAGCGACCATTGGCTATTTAAATTGTAATTTTAGTGAGAACAAATTTCAAGATTTCTCGAATTTCAAGATATCTAGAATATGTTATAAAAAGTAGTGACCATTGGCTATTTATTCAAGATTTCTCGAATTTCAAGATATCTAAAATATTCTAAGGCCAGGCCAGAATGAAACAAATAAAAAAATAGCTAACTGGTTAAACAAGACACCCTGTAGATTACAATGCAAGGGACTGAACCAAGTTATTGTTCTTCGCTCTACATTTCATTACGACTAAACTCTGCACCGGTCGAGACTCAATGGACGAAGTCAGCGAAGCAACCGATAATCAGGGAATCGTCGACGATCAGACCCGAGGACGCGTCGCATCCGGAATGCGAATCCCGCGCGGCGGGAAGTCCCGGGCGAATTTCATCCCGTAATAGTCGCGGGGTCCTACCCTCCGTTGATCGTAACCTACAAGCCGATCAAGAGGAGCGAAACGATTCGAAACGTTTCCGTTGGAGGATTTCATTCGTCGCCCTGGCAGCCGAAGCCACCCCCTGCGGGGGGTGGGGTGGGCGTACATCGGGAAGGGTTACACGATTCGATTAGAAATCACCCCTCATCGGGAGGGCTTCGCCGGTGACAGCCAGATGCGCCAATTTTCTGGAGGGAACTGGAATTGGAAGGCGGAGGTAGACGACGTATACGGGAAAGTGAACAGTGTACACGGTTGATTGTCTCGTGAACTGTCGAAGATGCTACAAAAACAAATGGTAGTGTGCGGCGGGCGCGGATCTGTGTTAGGGTAGATGTGGGTAATAATAATAATATATAATAATATAATATAAAATAATATAAATGTAATATAAATATAATATAATTATAATATAAATATACTATAAATATACTATAGATATAATATAAACATACTATAAATATAGTATGAATATAATATAATATAATATAATATAAATATGATATAATAATAAAATATACATATACATTATATGTACACTATATGTGGGTATCAATATATAATTAAAATACTACGGTATTTTATAAAATTAATAAAATCAAACATATTTTATAGAGTATGTAATTTTTTCTTCTCAGTTATTCTAACTTACAGTATTTCCATTTTATACAACGTGTTATCAACGTAGATAACAACATCATAATAAATAATAAGCCGCACGTTTAATCAACTACTAGTGAACAAATTATGCGGGAATATTTTCGTCTTGTATTTTATCCTTTCTGTCGCATTTTGCTAGGTTAATTTTGCTAGCTGACTTTTTCCGTTTCTTTTTTTACATGAAAACCGTGCAACGGTTAAAACAAACCCACAAGAAAATTCATCTGTCGTGTTTCGGAACACGTTTTCAGGATCCGGACCTCTGTACACGGGTCTCGCCGTTCTCCCGTATCGTTTACCGGCCCGTTTCCCGCAGTTTTCCTTTCGCCGGCCGTCTTCTCTGTCCGGTCCGTTGTTTGCTTCGCGTTTCGCACCCGTCGGTTCTTTATTCGGCCGGTGCGCGCACGGGAATATGTTCGGGCGGCCGTGTGAATGGACCGATTCCACTGTGTGGCGGTTTCGCTCCGGATGCGATCGGGCCGATTCGCTTCC